GTGCTCGCCGACCACGCAGGTGGTCCGGGTTTCAATCTCCAGTCGATGCACTCCTTTAATTCGCTGAGCCAGTAGTAAGATTGATAAAGAGGGAAGGTTGGGCATGAGGCTAGCAACCCCATCCCTTAAAGATAATCACCACTGCTACGGAAACTTCAAGCCTCTAGCTTGAAGTCACCCTATGTTCCACTGGGAACGTAAAAGGATAGAAAAAAAGATCTCTTCTCAGCTATCTTCAAATATCAAAAGACATCATACAAAGTATGCGGTAATTCGCCAACTATGCAGTGGTCAAATTACAATATTTATGAACAAAACTTCATCATTTCAGTAGATTAGACAACTTGAAACGTAATCTAATCAAAGAATTGATTACTTTCAACTATGATTGTCACGCGGAAAATATGTACTTTTATTTCACTTTTTAACACATTTTTTTACATTGTCAGTTAGAAATATGTGAAGCGAGCCTATCAGATGATTGGGATCGATTAACAGAAGGTCTTGGATTTATTGGTTTGTTCTTGCTGATACTTGTCAGTAAGACATATCTACAACCTCGGAGATTTGAATGAACTAGCGTCATTCAGTTAGGGAATCGTTACCAGTTAGCGAATTCGGACAGCGATTGGCACTCTATGGAACTGTTATCGATTGATTACTATGGATGAAACAATGTTGCGTATGTATGACAGAAAAACTGTTTTGGAAATCTCTCCTGAACAGTCTAATCACAGTAGCCGTTTTCTCCTGGACTGAATATCGTTATTTGGACATTTGGACATCACCTGTCGACTTAATCCCTAACTCTTTGTCTTTGTTCCTGTTTATTCTCTAATTTTAATGCTCCTCTTGGCGGTTGATTGGACACTAGCCAGTAACTAGTGTGATGTGTCTAGTCCCTTGTTTGGTGTAAACTGAATTCTATCAGTCAAGTTTGCAATATGACCACCATTCTAGGTGGCCAACCATCTAATATCAATCATTCAAAGTGCGCCGTGATAGCGAGCTACCTAGAATGGTGGCCACATTGCATACTTGACTGATGACAGAATTCAATCTATACCAAACAAAGGCCTAGACACACTAAACTAGTTGCTAACTAGTGTCCAATCAAAAGTTTTCCCAATGGCGCAGATGCATTCACTCTTTGTAATACTCTAGATGTAATAAGTCTTCATGTTCCTTTATGTTACCATTCTTTCTCCACCACATTTCTGACTGTTAGAGATCTTTTGAATTTAGATATGATAGAGAAGATTTGTAGCTCAGGTGGATGATTTTGATGTGGTTGTATTCTCTGAGCTGGATGGTTTATTTGCGAAGATTTCATTGCCCCACTAGGCAACATCCCCATCTCAGCGCATACTTCAATCTGTTGAAATGAGCTTTCAGATTTCTCCACGAGTTTATTAGTAATCTCTCCTGGTGACCTAACCTTGAACGTGATTGGTGGTTTTTGTGTGTTTTCACACCCTCTAGACAGCTACTTGTATTGCAACTGATTGTTTCTTTGACTTGAACTTTGACTCCTTGTGTGTGAGATTTCTTCCGTATAGGTTGGTAGATTTTGTCGAAGTGTCTATTGATTGAGGACTCACTGGAATACCAGGCAGCCTTCTAAAAATTTTCTAGCATTCTTGGTGTCATTTCCTCTGTCTAATATTTGAACGTCGGTTGTCCCAGTCAAACTGATGTCCATGGTTGTCTATATACAGTGATATTAGGGAGGGAATGGATGCCATGTCTTTTGACGGCTAGTTTGTGATCATGCATACGAAGATACGAAGAGGATAGGCGTCCACTTTGGCCAATGTAGTGTTTTCCTCAGTTGTTACAATTGATTTTGTAGATGATGTTGGTTTCATCTTCTTTCGCTGTTGAGTGTTTTGGTTGACATAGAGCCAGCTGAGTGAAGTGATTTTGTTGGTTTGTGTACGACGTCAATTCCTAAAGGTTTGAAGAGTCTTGTAGTGATTTCTGAGATTTCTTTGATATTTGGAAGAGTGATTTTCGTTGTGCGTTTTTTGGTTGGGGACCTGTGATTTGATAAGTTGGCTTGGGGATATATGTCTTTTGATGAATTTCCGTGAATATCCATTCTTTTGGAAAACGTCCACGAGATATCTTTCTTCAATTTTCCTTATGGCGGAAGTGCTTCAATGAGTCCATGCTGGCCCTCTTGAATAGTGTTTCTATAAAATTCCTTTTGTGTGTTATTTGATTTTTTCAAATCGTGGAAAATACCCATCGGGACATTAGAGGGAAAAGAATAAGAAGTTTAGCAAAGATATTGGATTGTTGCTGTTGCAATTAAGTGGGTATTTGGTCTGTATGAGTTGATTTTCTATAAACTTAAGTTTCTAATTCTCCTGTAGTTGTTCGCTTGACTAAGACGTCCGAAAATGGGATTTTGTTCTCGGATTCCTTTTCTCTTGTGAATTTGATGTCGCTGAAGATTTTGTTTATGAAGTGAATTGTGAGTTTTATCCAACTCGTCTCTTTTGATTATTACAAATGTGTCATCTACGTAGCGTATCGAAATTTTGGGTTTGACCTTCGGTAGGATTATGTTTTCGAGCCTTTGCATCACTGCTTCTGCAATCGAACCTGATATTGACGACCCCATTGGTGTTCCTTTAGCTTGTCCATATATTTGGCCGTTGAATTGGAAGTAAGTTGTTAAGCATAGATTTATGCATTCTATCCAGCTTGTGTGTTGCATTTTTGATTTTTGTGGAAGGTGTTCGTCGTTGCTGAGTAATTGCTCCATGGTCTCTTTTGCTATACTCAAGTCAAGGAAACAATCGATTCCAATACAAGTAGCCTAGAAGGTGTGAAAACACACAAAACAACCAATCACGTTCAAAGTCAGGTGACCAGGAGAGATGACCAATAAACTCGTGGAGAAACCTTGAAGCTCACTTCAACAGGTTGACGTATGCATTGAGGTGAGGATGTCGCCTAGTATAGCAATGAAATCTTCGCAAATAAACCATCCAGCTCAGAGAATACTACATCAAAATATTCTGAATTTCTTTTTTCTCTCTTCTGTCTTCCTTTGTGGGCTACATGGACAGAGGCAACCTGAACTGGTACTCTTCTGTGCAGAGGTCTCTGCTGGAACTCAGTCAATCAGTCAGTCAACCAGTGTGGTAGAAACTCTAATTTATCACTTAAATCTTACTCGATCGGAGTATTTCACAGTAATCTTACTGCATAATTATTCCTCTAATAATCTTAAATTATTATTATTGTCTCTTTTAGTTCCTGGAGGAACATAGGGCTTCAGCCTTACGTTTCCATTGCGTTCGGTTCTCCGACAACTTTTTCGCCACCTGGCTAAATGTCTGCCCAAATGCTTTCATCTCCTACCTTCGCATGACCTCATCCACTCCATGTCACCCTCGCAGTGACGAACAACTCGCCGCTTCTCATTCTAGTTCCAGTGTAATTTCAGTGTTGATTATCATAAATGCATTACTATTATTATCACAATACTGGATATATGTATATATTTTGATTATAGCTTGATTCCATACCGTATTTTTGTTACAAGTGTGGAATTTTCAGCATGCGATATCAGTAGCCCAATTTTGCAGGCCGACGATTGGTATCAGGCGTGCGTCGGTAGGGGATCGAACCTCGGACCATGTGCATGGTCGACGAGAGTCCTAACCACTGTACCACAGACGTACCATTCAAGTTCTATCACTCACTGATAACTAAGTGTTTAACTAATTGATGTAACTGAACCGTGCAATGCATTTTATCTTAGTTTTATATCCCTGTATGTATAGAGCATCCATCTGAGGAACAGTTTTACCGAAATTTAATTGAAGTCATTAAATTAGTGCTTAATGAATCACATTTGCTGCCTGTTTTAAATTTGTATCGGGAAATAAATGTTTCCAAATCTTGATTTATATATATTTATTTAATAGAAATCATTTATTTTATTTTCATTTCACAATTATAGATTCGTATATTACGTAATCCTGAACGAATGGGTTTAATCAAATCACGTATGAATGGTGCACGTAATGCTAGCGGTGATATTCTAGTATTTTTAGACGCACATGTTGAAACGTTGGATCGCTGGTTAGAACCACTAGTTGTCCAGTTAATCAATTTACGACAACAAAGTCGCAGTCAACACCATCGTCATCGTCAAAGTGAACAGTTCGAAGGAAGCAGAGAAGAAGAACAAGATCAAGGAATTACTAAACCGTTATGTAAGGAGCTATTTATTTAAACATATGTGGATTTCAGATGTATTGTTGCCTTCCACCTTATATGTGTATACGTAACAACAGAAGACAAGGATCAGGCAACAGATTGTTTATTGAGGAAATCAAGAGATATTTAATATATATTTTTATGTACATTATTATTCGTTGTTATTAGCAGAGAAACAGCGTCTTCTGATTGGTTGACTTCGCCCTGAAAGTTGTTCTATCATCTCTTTGTGACCGTTTCTTAGGAAGTTAAGCCATATATCTGCGAATCGTATTCGCCCACTCAAAGTCTGCTGTGATTGGTTGTTGAGTTCCTCAAGGTTAGGCTTTGTTCTTGTTTTTTTTCTGATGACCAATGTTTGGGACGTAAACGTTGACGTAAATTGCTGTCTACCTATTTCGGCTAGCAGACAGCTTTCACCACATATATTGTCTGAAGAGAAACTATAATTATTATTGCTTTTTTGGAAAGTTACTTGAATCAATTCAACTACATGAACTAGTTTGACTGTAATTCAGAAATACCAATGTGTCACCTGGGATCCTTGAACATGTGTCTTGTTATTTCTATTGGGTCCCGAGTGAAACTATAGAGCTTCAGCAGCCCATCTTCATGTCACTGTGTTCTCTGCTATCCTCTTTGCCCACCAACTTTAATGTCTTCCTCACACGATCTCCCCCATGTCACTCTTTGAACCAATACCAAACTCTTCGTTCAGCATTTGAGTTCCAGTGAAGAACCTGGAGTGCTGTCACAGATGCTTAGAAATTCTATTCTTTTAAAACCTGAACTGGCTTTCCAGCTTCAGAAATTTCATGTTCCAAGGCTTAATTTTGCTTTAATTCAAAGAAGACATGTTGGTTGACTGGCTTCCTGAAGGCTTTCATCAGCTGACGTCAACCTGTCTTTCCACACCCAGTCAAGGATAAGTTTTTTTTAAACATTTTTTCTGTACTTTGAAGTTTCTGTGGCGGCTGGATTGATTTTTCCCTGTAGGGTTGCTAGCGTCACATCCAACCTTCCATTTTTTTCTGGGCTTAGGATCGGTTAGTAAGCTGAGCGAGTGTTTTGAAATCCAGATGAAGTCGTTCTTGATGTAGAGTTTCATACTGAGAGAAGAAGTAAATCCTTTTGGTCAATAAAGCATCGATCTTTCGCGCCGTGTAATCAGAGTCTTTTTTTTTATTCCTTCACGTTCCCAGTGGAACACAGGGCTTCAAGCTAGAGGCTTGAAGTTTCGGTAGTAGTGGTGTTTAGTTTTACGGCGTGGGTTGCTAGCCTCAGACCCAACCTTCCCTCTTCATCGGTCTTATTACTAGCTTAGTGAGGTAGGGTAGTGTATCGGCTGGGGATCAAAAGCTGGACCACATGCGTGGTTGGCGAGCACTCTACCGCCGTACAACCATCCTACTACATATTAATAATCAATTATATTTTCATATAGGTAAAATAGTCCAGTATAGGTAAATGGTAAAAATCCGTTATTTTCTGGACAAGTAGTATCGGCTGCGTGTGATTAACTTAGAGTGCCGGTTCACAAGGGTTCGATTAAGTTCCAATTAGATCTGTCTGTTTTCAGCATAGAACTTTGCACCGATGTGCAGCAGTTCAATTCGCCACACTCCATGTAGCACACAAAGCAAGAGAGGAAAGTAAAAAGAAATGCAAAACAGAGACAGTAAACAGAGACGTGAGGCAAAAAGAATAGTAATATGGAAGAACCATATAGTTTCAATGGATATTATAAATCACAAGGAGTGGATGCATCTTCGCTAAAGCTAAGAACGACTTCGACCCATATCACCGACTGTCTCTAGCCGCCATTGGTTTTTACCGTCCCTAGGACCCCAACCAGCCAGTCAGGAAGTCTACACCTCCCTACGTGTGTGGCTGGCTTAAACTAACTGTTGTGGATTTCATTGACTGATGAAGCCATGTTTTGGTTTGACCACGACTGGCTAAATCTTTTCCAGTCTGATCCATCCTATGTCAGTCAGCTAACACTGCCTGTTGTCTATGAAGGCGGGCAATGACTAGGCATGCGTAGCACATGTCCTAACCATCTCAGTCGATGTACCTCCTCAGCCTCGTCTTTTGATTCCCCCTCCCATTTACCAATCACTCGACCGATGCCTAACGTCAATATTGCTCACCCTGTTATACCACTTCACACGGGATATAGACAGTAGGCACCTATGATCAAAGATAGCTAGCCAGTATTTTCATGTCTTCATGTCTCACTCACAGCCATAAAAGAGGAGGACGGAGCGGACTGCTGAGCAGTACACCCGCCTTTTGGTCTATTGCCAATTAGATCACAAACTGACAGCTGTTTGATCAATCACCCTGTCTGAAAGTTATGTGAGATGTCCAGTACCCCTAAGTTTTCATCATTTCTGTAAGTGTGACGCCAGTTCGTGATCTCAAGTCAAAAACAAAACTCATCCGACATGAAATTCAAATTACTAAAAGAACTGAGCTCACACCAGAGTGGGGTGGAGGAATTCAGAAAAATACGACTAATTGTGCATATCACAATTTTGATTATATTATAAGAGGACAGTTCAAGTTGTTATGAAAATATAAGTCACAGTACGGTCAAGGAAACGTGCCTCTAGGTTCCTTCATCACTAGCTCTCTCAATAAGGCCATCTGAATAACTAACATTATCTCAAAAAGAGGTTTCATCATATTTCGACATAGAAATCGATTTAATTGTCAAGTGATATTTCAAAAGAGCAGCTGACCAACTCAGAATTCGCAATGAATGCACTAATACACAACCATAGAGTTGACTGTAACAGTATTGTAGTTTTATAAAATAAAATAAAATTTAATTCAGTTTTAGATTTTCCCGTGGATTGATTGGACCGAAGTGCTCGGTTTCAGATTGACATGTCGGCATCTTGTGCAGATGCTTCGACGATGTCTGGGCATGTAATTTAAAGTCAATTGGTGGATGGTAAGTAGCAGTGCAATCCAGGATGCACATTTCGTCCTATTTGGGACTTGTCATCCGGATGTACTTGCACTCCGCAGCGGTTGATGATGTCCTCACCGAGGCTGGAACCCAGTGCCCATAGTTCCAGATGCTAAAGCGTTATCCACTAGGGCCACAAGAGCCACCACTTGTGCAATGAGACCTAGCACTTCGGTCCAATCAGTCGACGGGAAAATCTAAATTTGAAATAAATAGTTAATATAACCCGTTGCACAAGAGGTGGCTCTCGTGGCTCAAGTGGTCTTGTGGATAAAGTTTTAGCGTTTGAAACTATGGGCCTTGGTGAGGACATCACCACTTACTGGAGAGTGCAGGTACATCCATCTGACGATTCCGGAATAGGATGAAATGCGCGTTATCATGGATTCCACTGCTAGTCACCGTCCACCAATTAAACAAAATATAGTTAGGTAGAGGAACAGATCAATCACTAAATCTTTCTTCATCGAATCTACACCTAACACCGACATCAGGCACACACTTGGGGCACCGATGAATGAAAACGCGCAAAATGCAGGTCCTCAATCGAGTGGCACCCGTTTATGACATAGAGGAGATCGTGTGAAGAGATGAGAGACTATTAAAAGTCATTAAGCTAGCCAAAAAGGGCCACAGAAAATAGGACAAAGCGAAGACGTACTGTTGAAGCCCCATATTCCTCTCGGAACCAAAGGGAACAACAATAATAATAACACCAGTACTAGAGACATTGAAAATATTACTACAAACAAAATAAAAAGATAAAAAATAATGGAATCATGTAAAAGAAGCTGTGAAGTTACGTGAGCGCCTTTTTATGATTATTTGCAATACACTGTGCCAGAAGTGTCATCGACAAACAAATGATGCTGTATTCTCTAATGGAGTTATACTCCATCTAACACAGTGCTCAAATTCTATTCTTAAGTCAGCAAAAATTACTCGAGGAATCAAGCAGCTCTCCATCTAACTGTTACTTTTTCAATATGAGAATGTCTGACATTGTTCACAACTCAAGTGCCTTCGGTTTCATTGCGATACCCATTTTTCAGCGACCTATAAACGATAAGGTAGTATGACTACTTTCTAATATCATTTGTGAGCCACTTTCCTCATCCACATTCAGGGTGGCGACAACAGTACTTAGAAAACTTGAAGAGGATCATCTTAAAGGCGCATTTCATTTCCTGGTAGAGTCCATCTTGAATATGATAATACTCCATTCTCGTTATAAATTCTCATCCGCTTCTCATTTTCAATTTCTCTTTTAGATGATGCTACTCATTTTATTGTCAGCCCAGTTATTATATCAAGTTCAGATACAATGGATTACAATAACATTGAAGACAATTTCTATGTTGGCGGTTTTTCATGGGATTTAATCTTCAGATGGCATCATGCCTCCAATGACAGTAAACCACAGCCATCCATAGATCCATATCACTTAATTCGTCCAAGACAAACACCAGCTTTAGCTGGTGGAATCTATGCTGTATGGAGAGATGATTTCTTCCATTATGGTGGTTATGATGAAGAGATGAGCATATGGGGTGGTGAAAATATTGAATTATCTTTACGTACATGGATGTGTCATGGACAAATTGAAATAGTACCATGCAGTCGTGTTGGACATCTCTTCCGTGATAAACATCCATATACATTCCCAGCAGGTAAAGAATTCACTATCTTGCGGAATCATAAACGTACTGTTCTTGTCTGGTTCCTACATGATACAAATTCAACACTTGCTCAAGAATATCTTGCATACTTCTACACAGCATCACCAGAGGCTAGGGTAATACCAGCTGGGGATATAAAGTCACGCAAGCAAATAGCGAATTCATTGAAATGTCATGATTTTACATGGTATCTGAAGAATATTTATCCTTTACTTAAACAGGAGGCTGAAAATATTCAAATTTCCGATGATGCCTATTATTTAACTGCTTTTGAAGACCTGTAAATGCTTTTGTAATCATATAACAGGATGAGGAGTAGTTACTCTCATATGGGTAACCTCCTAAGTGTTCATGCTTTCTTTATCTAGAAGACTATAGCATGTATGAAACTTTGTCAGAGTTATTTTTTATTTATTTTAATAATTAATTTGAACTTTCTTGTTCTTAGATTTTGTAATTAGATGATTTGTTTTTGATTTACTTGTGTTCTTTTTCTGAGCTGGTTATCGATTTAATTGCGAAGCTGTCGTGATCCTTCTAGACAACATCTTCAGCGCAGATTTTAGCTTCGCGATGAAATCAACCAGTGCAAAGAACACAACTAATTCAAAATCATTCACTTGAGCTACAAATCTCTTCCATTATTTGATGATTTCCTTTTTATCGATGTTTTTAACTTTTCAAAGAAGGTGCACTTATTTGTTTACTCTTTTTGTACAAATGTATAGATTGAAACAAATTTTCAAAATAGAAAATAAAATGCATTTGTTTAAATGATTCCAATTGTTTACGAAATTATTTTCAAATATCAGTTGAACTCTTTTGGGTATATGTAGCGAAACAGTGGACATTGAATATACGTTTGAGTACTATATGACAGTTGTAAGTGCTTGAACAAAGCAAGAACTACAAATGTACCAGGATAATATGAGCTCATCTTTTATTATTTCGAGGATTCTTCTCAACTGGTTACAACCTGAACGATAAAAATATGAATTACATTAAAGATTTGAATATACTTTTCCACGATCACAAGGAGTAATTGGTAGGATGTAAAAGTAGCATTAGTCCGGAATGATTTAACTAATTAAGAGTTACAAACACTGACTATTTATAGAATAATTAGACAATTAGGCTTGGAAACAAAAACAGAGTTGCGTAGAAACAAGGTTTAGCTAGAAAGAGCATAACAAAAAAGTAGATTACGTAACTAAAGAAAATGTTTTATCTAATAGCCAATAGAAAAAAAAGGAAGAGAAAAGAATAAGGTAGGGTGAGTCATGTTTAGATGAGAGAGAGTAGAGTTTTCCGAACAAGAAAAAGGGTGACTTATAAAAGTTGCATATTTTGTTATCACCATGGCAGTGCAAGATTCACCACTCTCTCTTTCTGCCTACATAGATTTGGTTTAAGTCGTCTGATAGCAATTGCTTCAGCAAAGCGTAGCAAGTTAGGTTTCTTTTGCTTGTTGATTATTTTGAACGACCTCAGGTTGTCTACAATATGACCAGTGTCTAATAGATGACGCACAATCGCACCGTTTAATGCTTGTGGACCTTTCAGTTTCAGGTTCTTTGGTATGTGTTCAGAAATGTGGACAATAACCCTTCTCTATGTTCTTCCGATGTATATGCTTTGGCACGTACATGTAAATTGGTAGACACAATTGGAGGTAACATGAGGTGGGTATTTGTCCACTTTTGATTGTCTCAAGCAACTAGTTGTTTGATAAACACATACAAGCTTGGCGGCTGGATATGTTTTTTCAGGGCAGCGTTCAGTCTGCATCTTATTCTACTAGCAGTATCATCCCCTTAGAATGCAAGCTGCAGAAAGATAGGCTTTTTCTCTACTGTGCTGCTTTTCACTTTTTCAACATGACGTCTCCCATAATTGTCGATGAACTTTTGTTGGTAACTGTTGTTGCGTAGGCATTTCTCCACAATGGATAGTAATTCAATTTAGGAGTCTTACGTGGTAATCAGTGTAATATAGTCAGTAATTCTGAGGTGAGAAGTGCAGAGCTAGATAAGGAGATTAAGTCAGTTCAGCAGATTGTAAAGCTGCCACTGTTGTCTGGCATCGTAATATTATCTTGAACTTAGCTGGTGGTGCCAAATATGTTCGATATGCCTTCGTTTTGTTAAACAAGCTTGTTGCGTCACAAACAGTGGTGGATTACCAAGTGGCTGATATCCCATTTTCTTGACAGGAAGCAGTACACTGTTTACTCAATTGAAAGTCCTTCACTGCTTCACTTACTCTAACTGGTATTCCTCAAGAAAGTGTCCTTTCTCCTTTTCTGCTTTCTTTCTTCTTACGAGACTTGCATCTTTCTAATGAGACCTATTTTGTTAAGTATTCTGATGATCTGATGGCTTTTGTACCGGTGGTGGCTGGAGACAATAGGTGACATGGCTCAAAATCGTTGTCAGTGGCGCAGATGTATTCAGTCTCTTTAACCTTTCATATTCCTTTCTACCATTACTCATTCTGTTTCACTCTTATACTTATCTAAATTCTATTGATTCTCTTCTCTCATTTTCCTGTCTACCTTTGTGTGCTCTTTGGAACGTGGCAACTCAAACTGCTGCACCTCGGTGCCAAGTTCTATGTTGAATCCAGCAGCAGCAGCAGGTTTCCTCTTAGTCGAATTGTTGCGAAATGAATAACATCTTATCAGAAATTATCAAAAGAATTGATATTGAACAAGGAGTTCTCTTTTCGATAACCTGCTCTTCATCAGGCTCTACAGTTATGCATACATTATAGTGAATGAATGAATTAGTGTTATGAACAACACTAATGTTGTTTAAATAACATCGAATCAATAATATTGATGGATTACAGCTCAATAGCATCAACATAAAATAAGCTGAATGTCAGAAAAATTAGGAAAGATAATATTACAAATTCATGAGTTTATAGTCTCTACTAAAGGCCAGCCAAGTCAGTAGTAGTTGCTAGCTGGACTTGCTTCTTTTGAGCACAGAGCACTGGTTGTTTGAGGCGAATTGCAATAGCCTCTGTTGTTTGGAGCATGCGGTGCTTCGATGATTTTGGTAATTTGTTAGGCACCTGGTAGATGATAGAGAAGGATTCTTCAATGCTGGCTGGCTTTGTGGCCAGTTTGCACCAGAAGGTCTCATATCGAGCTGTTAATAGTTTTAACTACACCTTTACTTAGCCATAGTGGGGGATGTTCTCGAGCAGGAAAAATCAAGTTCGTAGAGCAACGGCCCATATAACTCGTTCCACAAGCGCAGTTAAATTGGTAGATACAATTTGAAGTGGCTAGTCTAGGCACTTCAGCTTTGAATCGAGGAATCACCATTGGTAATGTAGAAAACATGATTTATAGTTTGCCAACATTAAAAGTTCTTTGAACTGATTTTCTTAATTTCTTCTTAATTATCTCGCTTGTTATATCGCCTATGAATTGTAGTCGTAAATATAAAGATTTCTTGTTTACAGATAGTGAGTAGTCCTTTTTCGCTTTCTTTGTCATATATTTCTTGATAAACTTGACGGGATGGCCTTTTTCATTCACTATAATGTGTATATAATTGTAGAGCCTGATGATGAATTTATCGAAAAGAGTACTCTTCGTTCAGTATCATTTCTTTTGAAAATTTTAACGGGCATTTTTATCAGAAATTTGTCAGTGGCCCTTATCAAATGGTCTTAATCTAAATCCCCCCAAATGTTAGGTTTTCAATTTCACTTGCAGATATAAGCATGACTAACATGAACTGGTTAGTTAGGGGGACATAGTTCCACTATCATAGATGGCACAGAGGTTGAAATTAAAATGAATGCTAAATATCTTGGACTGTGTATTTCATCTCATTTTTCCTGGTTTTCCCACATCGTATTAATTTCCAGAAAGATATTTCGTTTAATATTCTATGTTGGGAAATCAAGACAGTCTGGTATCACTCAGTCTCTACTTTTTAAGTTTGTTAATTCTTGAAATCTGCCCATCCTTCTTTACCTCTCGCCCTTAATCTTTCCTGGGCTATTTAAGAAAGACTTTGTTACACTGCGAAGAGCACTAAAAGCCATCAGTATGGCCAGTAGGATGTCACTGAACCAACTTCTTAATACAGTTGTAGATAGACACATGGGAGAAATGAGAAAATAATGTCTTGTCGGACCCTGAGCATCCTGTCTGTACACAACTCTCTCCTTGCTACATCTCATCAGGTAGGTGGAACTAGAAGCAATTAAAGAAGACGATAAACTCGGATGTTTAAGTATAAAAACTCTACAATAATCTATTTGGCAGGCACAAATTTTATGTGATAGGAAACGTGTGCAAGGCTAATTTTTATTTAACAATATTATCAATGTAAATGCCCTTCATACATATGAACTGTGATCAAGATTCGACAGAATAGTTCCAAAATATAATTGGGCGCTGCATGAGAGGTAGACATTTGTAAAAATTATATTTATAAAATCTCAGCTAAGTCAAAATGAGTAATTCCAACGTTTCTTGCATTCGACAAACTGGTCCGAACTTCTTCAGGGAATTAATTGAAATTAACATAACAGAGGTTTATATATAAAGAAGACAACTCTTGTTTATAAAAGCTTTGTCTAAGCATTTGAGTCATGAAACAGTCATCAAAATAGATAAAACAAAATTGTATGAAATGTGATCAAAATTTGACCTCAGATCTACAAATATTAGTCTACTTTAATTGGTAGATGGTGACTAGCAGTGGAATTCAGGACAGTGCGCATTTCGTCCTATTTGGGACTCGCCAACTGAATGTACCTGCATTCCGCAGTGGGTGATGGTGTTCTCTTCGAGGCTGGAACACAATGTGCCCATAGTTTCAAACCCCAAAGCGTTATCCGCTAGACCACTTGAGCCGCGAGAGCCACCTCTTGTTAAACGGGTCATATTATTTATTTAATAGGATGAAATGCGCATGCTGGATTCCAGTGCTAGTCACCATCCACCAATCAACTTCTAATAACATGCCCAGACATCGTCAAAGCATCTGCACAAGAAGCCGACAGATATGTCAACCTGAGACCGAGCACTTCGGTCCCATCAGTCGATGGGAAAATCTAAAATTGAAATAAATAAGAGTGTACTTTTCATCAGAATTTTAGTGTTTACGTTCGACTAAAAGTTCATGGTCGTAGATAACTGAATATGAATTTATATTCGTATATGCGATATAAAACGGTGTGTTTGAATGTGTTTATGGGTAAACAGTTGTAAAACATTTTTTAGCCTCTCCATAAGAAGATATAGACAATCGGGAATTTAGACCATGTATTATAAATTAGTGATACATATCCATTTTTTTTATTTATTAATCCGGATTTATTATGCATCACCTAACAAGATCACACCTTCACGTCTGTTCAAACTGTTGGGATTCACCCATATGTGCAAAGCTTCTGCAGTTTGTCTTTCTTTATACTAAACCTTTCTGTAGAACTTTAGTCCTAACAAAGTCGATCTTGTGTCCCTTTTCTAACGAACGCAGTGCAATCGCTAATCTTTTTTCTATCTTCTTTAAGTGTGCAGAGGTCTTTGGAACCACCTTTAGACATTGCTTAAGCTCTTTAACCCTTATATTTACCTGTCTGGAAGTTTCTTCTACATATACGGCGTCACAGTCCCCACAATTTATCTGGTACACACAATTCTGTTGGCTATCTTCTTCTGTTTTATCCTTAACCTTAGTGTAAGGTGTTAGTTGCACGAAAATACCCTCTTACGTTGTCATGATTGTTAAGGATTC